CTGCCGCTGCCCGGGGCCGGGCGGGACAGAGCTCCCGGCAGACGCAGTCCCCCTTAACGGGGAGGCTGGGGCTTGGGCTGGGGTTTGTTTTGGTGCTGTGCTGTCTGAGCTCGGGGAAGCGAAGCCCGGTGGTGCCGAAGGGCACAGGCATCCCCCCGCCTTCGGCTGCCCGAGGGACCGCGGGGTGCTGCCCAGCGAGGAGCCCGCACGGCTCCCACGGGCTCGGTGGGTAGCGAGTCCCGCAGAGCCCGTCTCAAGGGGAGAAGAAGTGGAGGTTATGTTAAAGCAAATTGTCAAAATACATCAAAATTGCCCTTGGAACGGACCCCTAAAGAAAGACCATCTCACAAACCGTCATCTGCGGCGGGGGGGGGAAGGAGGAAACCAGAGACAAGGCATTGACCCAGAAGACCATGAATTCATGCGGGTAATAACAAACTGTGGTGGCAGAGCTGTTAGCTTACTAGACACTCCTTTTGCTCAACTTTCCATGCAATTTCTTCCATTTTTAATGGAATAACATCGTTTAAAAAAGTAGAAATGTTGGACCAGTAAAGGGGTGGGAAGGAGGTGAACAGCACAAGGGCCCGTACTGTTATTTCAGGTACTGGGGGGGCTCAATCCTTTCACCTGTCCCGTATTTTTAAACTCTGCCAGGCAGGGACTGCTTCATCCTGCACATAGGATAGCAGCTGAATTCACTTTTGAATTACACATTGACCAGCTTTTTAAAAAAATAAAAGGATCTTTCCAGCTCACTTTCAGATAAGCAATGATCTTCCCTCTATTGGTAACCAAGAGCCGTTTCAGTTCAGGAGCACCCCTTCCCCTGTTAGCTGCTGCCTACGTTCTCCTTTTCCCATGCATTTTTTTTAACGTGGTCCCTACTCTGTGTCAGATCCTCTTCATCTCCCAAATTCAGTACTTTCCCGTGACAGTTATTTTTCAGATGCGGCTGGAGCTGTTTTCTCAGCCTACTTCAAGACCTGATGGTTTGGGGTGAAGGGGGGAACTTGCATAAAAATTTAACAGCTTAGAAATTGTGTTGTAAAGCTACATGAACAGACAGCACCTTTTAAAAGAAACCTTCCCTGAGATACAAGTCACAACCCCCCAGCCTACAAATGAATTCATGTTTATTGAAATTAAAAGACAGTCACAGCAGGTAAAAAGCAGAGGTGGTTAGGAGAGGAAACGCGGACGTCCTGTGAACAGAAACCGGTAACAAAGTTCCGTTCCTGTGGATGTACACCTCTTCTCTGTAATCGCACTCCTTGCCTTCCCCCAGCCCGTGACAGTCGCAGGACTCCACCTCCTTCCTCGGACAAGATGGCAAGATCCCACCAACACGGTCTACTGGTGTCTCGTCCTTCATCTCTTCTCTGACCACTTAGTGATTTCCACAAGTTCATAGGAACGTAAATGATCTTTGGGACTACAACCCTACTATCACATTTTGTTACAGTTGTCCACCGTGTTAAAACTTTAAAATGGTGAGATGGACAGGCAGCAAGATCTCCTAAACCTGTTGTAGCCTTGCTTCCTAGTGCATAGTAAGTGGGAGTGTTAGATTATATACAATATAAGCTAAAAATAGAAGAAAATTAATAAAAGGAAAGTCTGACTTAAGGTCATTGTAGAGTTGAGTTAGTCTTTAAGCAAGAAACCTAAAGTGTGCAGCTTTAACAGTGGAAGACAGCTGAAACTGGGTCAGCTGAGCACAATTTGATACTGATCTAAAAAGCCCAGGTATCAGCATCTCCCTTAATAACAAACTAAAGTTCACCCCGCAGCTGCTTCAGGAAGTTCTCTGCCTCGTGCTCCAAGATAGATAAATTGCTTAAGGTGTTTCGTATTCAGAATACGGGCACGAACCAGAGAAATTCCTCCGCAGCTATTCCCGCAGTGAGATAGGATGATACGTCACCGAGAATTAGATGTTGTGAGGGCTGGAGAATCCCTCTTGCTGCAAGGTAGATCAGCTGAATTCAAAGGGAACTCGTAAGAGAAACAGTTAGTTTATGTAAAAATAAGCTATTTTTATTTCTTTCTTTCCCAGATTCTGGAGAGTTCTCAGACATTGCTAGATGTCCTGAAGGGAGAAATTGGGAATGCTGGTAAAGCCAGTGAGCCGCAAAGCACTTCAAAAGAAAAAGAAAAACAAGCACGTGGACAAAAGCATTCCTAAACTTGCTTTTCAACCTGGGAAGTCCTGTTGGTCTGGGGCAGCTGCTGTTCTGGTACAAGGATGCCACATTTAATAAAAGTCTTTGTTTTGCAGAAGTACATTTTCCTTTCAGATGCACTTGGGTATTAGTTAGAGATCTACTAAAGTTAATCCTCAAATGCTAGAGATCAGGGTAGGCATCTACAAAAAAACCCCCAAACCTTTGTTTTGAGCACAGTGATACTGAAGCATATCCACAGAGGTGACCCATCAGCTAATGCTTTTGCCCTCAAAATAGCATTCACCTTGCTTTGCCAAGAACAAGCTGAGAGTTCATCTGGTACAGACAGGGATTAGAGTACAAAGCCGGGAAGTGCGAAGGCAGCGCTCAGCGAGGTGCAAATTACAGCTGCAAGGTAGAGCAGGCAAACTGGAGGGAGTAGAGAAGTCAGCAGCACACCAGGGCACCACGTGCTCCTGTTGAGAAGCACGCTCTGCGCTCTCACCCCTCCACTGAGCCCGTCCTCACCAGAGGAGTTGTAGGCACAGGGCTAATTCACTGAGAACAGCAGGCCGAGTACCAGAGCAGCATTTCAGTTGGCTGAAGTCAGTGGAACAAGCTGCAGGATATTGTTGGCTTTAGCATTCCTCGTTGATCCACAGTAGAACAAAGTCAGGACTAGTTCAGACACCTTGCCCCTAACTTTAATTGCAGGCAGCTTTTGCTTCATCACCTGCATTTTTTTTAAGTTGCAAATCTAGCAATAGAGCTGCCTTAAACTGGCCTGAGCTTGTCCACAGTGCAAGATGCCCACTGGGACCTTTTCTACTAGAAAAGCTGTGCATAACCTTCTCTTCAAACACAGTCCCTGACCTTCTTTGGCTGTGTGCACTGCTACTGGCTGTGGGCACTGCTCAGTGTTTAACTCCACATATCTGGTAACTTACTCATCCTTTAAGTCTAGCAGTCACTAGCAGTCCTGCATTCTTCCTCGCTCTACCCCAGTCTCAGCATCTTGTCCTGAAGTATTTCAGGAGAAGCCTCAGCACATGGGATTCACTGCTCCTTCCGACAGTACTTGCGTCACGTCAGACGCAGATGCACTGCCAGCCACGTACTGCTCCTGGGAGGTCACGCGGGGAGCAGATCTTGAAAGTTAGCGGGGAGTTAGCTTGAAAAGGACAAGCCTCAGAAGTGCAAGGAGGTGGAAAGCGTTCCTTTGTGTCCCCTCCAGCCAACATCTAACAAACTGCTGAGTTTTGGGGTTGGTTTTTTTTTTTGCATTATCTTTCCAGAAATATTTAGGCACCCAGGGCAGAAGAAGAGAACAGCCAGAAGTAGGTATGTCCTAACATTTAGTCCTGGCTGTTTTTCAGCAGAACAACCTTCCTCCTCCTGCTACAATATACACCAGAACAAGTGCAAGGTATGGAGAGCATTTTCAGTTCATAGACCAGTGTCAGCTTGACTAGACATTCATCATCTATATATAATAGACAAACCAATAAAAGTATCAAATTTAATCAAAGATACCAGCCTGTTCCTTTGGATAGAGCCACGCGCTGGGGTACCACTCATTTCATGAAGCCCAAAGAGGCTGTATCTATTCCAACTGCATCTCTTTTAATCCCAGAAGTACAAATCACATTAGCAGCAGTGTTCTGTCTTTTCCAGAGTGCAATTTTGACCCTGAGTTTACAGTAGTAGAAAACTTAAATGGAAGAGTCTAGCAGATTCTTTTGCATATTGGCTGCATTAAACAATTACAATAGAACTATAAAAATCCTAGAAAAAAAACCCATATTCCTTGTTCAAGTTCTGCAGAATAAAGGAGTGAAATGGCCGTCCTGTGCTTTGCGTTAGAGGAGCAGAGCAAGCATGGCTAGAAGGAAGCCTCCCCATCAACCAAGACGGATAAATCTTGGGCCTGGCCCCGTTAGATGCTGGAACAAAGCAACAGGAGGAACTGGCAAACTGAAGCACAATCAGAGCTGTGCCGAGGCTGGACGCCAGAGTCAGGTATGGACAGATCAAAGCTGTGGCCGATGTTTGGGAATCTTCAAGAGGCTCAAGCCAGTCTGGACACTTCTTTACATATCAGTGCAAAAATGACACCTAAAGCTAAAGGCATTTATTCCCCTTCCCATCCCTCACACAGTGCGTTCAGTTTCCTTCACAAGAACGTAACTGGCACATCAATTCCACGATGGTTCAGTGAAACTAGACCCAGAAACATGCCAAGAACAAACCATGAACCTTCAATGGTTTTCCAAACTGACACCCAATCTAGCTTTCAAATCACAACCACTTCTGTGAATCCAGCTAACTGCCCAGATACTCCCAGTGCTCCAACTCTAGAACTGTTCTTCACTGGGGCCTCTGATGGGAGAAGTATTACAAAAGCCGTCCAGACCCCATTCAGTGCCTGGATGGACGGACTCAGATAAGCACTGAGAGAATCTACATCCATCCCGGGATTACAGATCTGTTCTTAGGACGCTTGCCTAATCGGCAGCTGATCTTGAACAAGGAATATGCAAGGCCACAGGTAGAATAAATCATACATCTTAAAAGTAGTAGTTAGGTCCCAGAATCCAGTGCAAATATTCTCCAAAGATGCCCAATAGCATCTAGTCCACCCTTGGCATCAGGATCCAGCGAAAACTGTGGTGAGGGAGGGACCCAGAAGCTTATTTCCGTGGTGCTTGCATGGACATTTGGAAGGTGCACTGACACGTTTTGTCCAGCAGCCGCTGCTGCAGGCTAGAAGGTGAAGCGATCAAAAATACAGAGCAGGCTCGCTGCTGAAATCGGAGAGTCCGCCCTTCTCTGCTGGGGTGAGCTGTGGAGAAAGCAGAGTTGACATGGAGGTGTCATCAAATCCAAAGCAAATGAGTACCCGCACCTTTGGACAGTGAAGGCTGCATTGGCACCTTGCCCGGGGCTAACGAGCACATTTAATTACCCCCTCCAAACATGCCCTGGAGTACAAAGTGTGCCAGCTACCTTAAGTCTCCTTTACACATACAGGGAGAGGCAGGTCTGCTAGTGGCAGCGGGACCTTGTGTTGATCCCTTTGTGAGTGGTGGCACACCTCCCTGGGCGGTGAACACACACACAGGTGTTCAGTGGAAGGCACATCCCGTCCCATCCACCGTCCAGACCAACCCGAGCACTGAGATAAGAGCACAGCAGGACAAAGCCAAGACCTGCTTATTTAAAGTCTCACCATGACATGGTTCCCCTGGGAATCAGCTTCCTTTGGGAGGGGTCCCTCTGTGGCAGGCATCTCCTCATATTTCTGCTCCTGCCACTCGCTGAACTTCACAGAGTGCTTTGGGGTGTAGCTGGATAAATCTGCTGGAAGGACAAAGCTGACGTGAATATTTCTCACTGCCCCAAAAAGAAGTGGGATCAGGATCCTGGCAGGGACAGCATGGAAGCTGCCCATCTGCAGTTCCCTGTTCTGGTTCAAGCCCTGCCCCCACTAAGCCCAAATTCTGCTGTCAGAAGTCACCTCCATTGGCATTTCCACCTGTGTGGAGCCCCATGAGGCTCTGTAGGAAACATGGACAGTGTTTGACACCACCAATAACCCCACAGTGCCAACACAGTGCCTCGCTCACCTGAGTTAGGTGTACTGGGATGCAAAGTGCTATTTGGGCGTGGAATGTAAAAGGTGCAAGACTTGTCCTCCTCTGTTTCAGAAGAATCTTCTTCTTCTTCCTCCTCTTCTTCTTCTGCCAGTGAGCTCTCTGATGGGTACTCAAACATAGTCTGCAAACTTGTCTCATTGAAAGAGATCTTCATCTACACAACAGAAAAGGAGAATTATTAGAAAGCAGCACAAGAAACCATCGATCGTAACATTTCCTCCGGCAAAGACCATCTCCCACTCCAGGGCTTCACCCTAGTTTAAAGGAGCCATTGCATATCCCCCGACCTTTCCCCATGTGCCTTGCCGAATCTCTTACCGCACTGAGAGAAACCACAAAGGCAGGTACCCAAATAGATGGGATGGAGTCAGGGGGCTGAGAGGTCGAGAGTACCTCTGGCTTTTTGCCCCGGCACACGCTTTGCCATTGTCTAACACTGTGATGCCCAGCAGCCAGGAGGAGCTGCAGGCATGTCCCGCAAGAGGGATCAGTGCTGCCAAGGAGGATAGGAAAGCATCCACATGTTGGAAAGGTGACATTGCTAATGCCTGCCAACTCATTTGTGTACCCATGCTCTAGACAGTAGAAACATCAGTGATCAGGACTACATTTTTGGGAGGACGTCCTGGCAAAAAGCTATTTAAGCTAGATAAACACAGGGTTTAATACCAAAAGTGAGAAGATGGAAGCAGCTAAAGGAAAGGTGGTAACAGGTGGTAGTAGAGAGGGAAAATACTGGACAAGTGGGAGGTACTTAAAGGTTCTGTTCTGAAACCAGTTTTATTTAGTATTCTCACTAGTGACCTTTGCACAATAACTGGGACACTGAGAATGAAGATGACTCCAACATGGGAGTTCATCAAGGAAAAAACAGAATTTTATGGGTCATTCAGAAAACTGGAGAGCAAGAACACTAGAAATGGGACAATGTTTAAGATCAGCCCTTGCTCTAAGAGAAGTTCGTCACCTGTGAATAACTGAGAAAGAAAATTTTGGATTGGCTACAGGACTGTAATCATCATTAGGATTCTGCTTAAATAAACCAGGAATAAAGCAGGGTATTTCCACTGGAAATAGGGACTGCCTGGCTCCGTCCTCCCTGTAACACCCCGCAGGTAGTGGAAGGCAGCAATTGGACTCCCCCTTTCTCTCCTCCAGGCTGAACAAACCAGCTCCCTCAGCTTCTCCTCATATGCCACTTCCTCCAGCCCCAGGAGCACCCTGGTAGCCTCTGCTGGACCTGCTCCAGTTTCTGCATCTATCCTGTAGCAGGACCCCCAAACCCAGACACAGTAACTCCAGATGTCCTCTTCCAAGTTGAAAGGAAAAGCCGAGAGAAGGGGTTGTTCCCCTGAAGCCTTAACATGTCTTAATCATTATCTACCATTCTGCTTAGAAGATCTGGTTACAAGTCATCTCAACAGGTGGAGCGGAGATTCAGCCTGTTCACACCAGCAAGAATGAAGGTTGAGAAAAAGCATAACAGCTCTTTTTAAGTACACCAAGAAAATAAACACCAAGGAGCAAATAAGAACTGCTGATGCCAGCATACAAACAGACAAACAAGGAGGATAAGCTTGCCAGGAATATTACGCCAAAAGTAGGGAAGTATCTAGCCAACGTGGATCAAGGTTCAGGACCAGCTGCCTAAAAGGGTGTTGTGATCCCTTTACTTCTAACTACATTTAAAATTGAGCTAATAGGGTTATGAACAGAATTAAAAGCATGTGGTTGCTTGTGACAGGCGGTAGGAGCTGGATGGTTCAGAAGATCTCTTCTGATGCTGTGTAATAACTGGCAAGAAGAAAGCGCAGCACATTTGCCCCATGTGCCTTACTTGCAGTTTCCCTCATATACAAAATACACCACAGCCTGAGAAATGGCATGTGGCCCCAAGCAGCTATCAAGCAAGGTGGTTGGGGCATGTGGCCCCAAGCAGCTATCAAGCAACGACGCACCACGTGTGAAGCCCAGATGCATGTATTTCTTGCAGCACCAGCAGCCGCCTCTCTGCATCTCCTGTGCATGGAGCACCGTTGCGATGCTGCTGCTGCCAACAGGCCCTGCTGAAGCCAAACTTGCAACTGCATGGGGGGACAGAGCCTGCAAACCGGCAGTGAGCGGGAGCCGGCCTGCTACTGCGTTATCCTGCGCTGCCCACAGACAAGACACGCTGGAGCTATGCGGGTGGTAAGGGTTTTCAAGGCAAGACAGTGAGCATTTCACTGCTGCTTTTCAGAAAAGCATTGAGGGGAGCTGGAATCAAACCCAGGTAACACAGTGAGTACGTAACGCCTCCTCCGCACTGCAAATACGCACGATGGAGCTGTGTGCTATTCTGCCCGAGTCCGGGACTCTAACTCGGACACAGGCTGGCTCCCTTCCCCACGCTCCCAGGAGAAGGAAGGATGGAAATAACAGAGAGGGCAACCAGCTGCCTTTCCCCATTCATTGCCACAGCCCTGGGCAGAGCCACTTTGACCTTCTACAGATGACACATGGGAGGGGAATTACTGTATTTCAGAGAAAAGGGTTGGAATAAAATGGCCCTGAAGATCTGACTATCCCAGCCGCTGTTCCCTGAATTCCTCACCCCTGCTGCTGACCTAGATGCTCCCTGATCCGAGCCAAGCAGCAGAGCGGGCAGCGACCGCTCACAATGTGGCGTCTGTGCTGCGGGGATGAGCCACGCTGCCAGGCACGAAGGCCACGAGGGTGGAAGTGCCCAGGGTTCCTGGAAGCTCAGAAGCTATCCCAGAACCAGATACTGCACGCAGGCTGCTTACCAGTGCTGGCAACTGTGCTGAACAGGGCAAGAAGTACTTGACTAAACATTGAAAATAAAGGGGACAGGAGAGATGTGTCCTGTTTTTAGAATTTAAGCTTTGGAGACGGAACTAAGTTTTCCTGGTTTTCTGCTATCAGGAGGAAACGTCTAAGAAAAATGACTCTGAGTCTAATTTGGACCAAAGCTGCCTGTAGTGCAAGAGGAGAAAACAGCCTCACCAGGGAGTAAAACCAAAGAGTAGAAAGCAGCAGAAATGACCAGGAGACACCCCCCATGCAGTGCCCAGAGGCAACACGCCAACAGCCCAGCCTAAGCCCTGAACTAAAGCAGCTCCCACTTGCCCACAGCCAATTCAATTCGGGCCACGCTCGCTCCCCGGAGCCAGGCTGGGTGTCCCGCAGAACGCTCTGCCAACAGGGTTTGTGGGGTACCTGCTGCAGAGGGGCCGCAACGTCGTAGGAGGCAATGTTGAAGCTATTCAAAAAGAGCAATCATTAACCACAGCGGTGCCAGCCCCATGCACCCAGAGCCCCAGCCTGGGCGAGAGCTCGTAACAAGATAATTTGCTGCTTCAGCAAGACCTCCGGTTGGGCCAGCACAGCCTACGCGAAGGCTGACACCAGGCAGTCCTGCTTGGCATGAGCACACCCTGGCGCAAGACCCCCCCCAAAAACCACGTTGGCTTGCTCTACAGCAGCGTCCCACCCCCCCACACCCACTGTGCTGCTACCAAGAAGTAGGAAGAGCCCTGTGGCCGCTCTGCAATAAAGCACTTGGATGCACCCAGGCAAAGCAAACACCGGAGGAACAACCAGGCCCTGGCACAGAGTTGGACTCCGGCAAACAGGCTCTGCCCGAGCAGCCGCCTTCCCCGCACCTGCACACCCCCCCGGGGCGCTCAGTCAACCCTGCCCATGCAGAGCGAGAGCCCCAAAAGCAGCCCCAAAACTCAAAGCGATAAACCTGCCGTGGCATCGCCTGGGTTCCCCCCGCAAGCTCCCCTCCCCAAGCATGACGCGGTTTCAGGGGAGGCACAAAGCAGCTCTGCTGGATCCAACAGAAGATGGAGGGCAACTTATTCAGGCAAAATTAGGGGACACGTGGGTCAACACAGCTGCCTTAAGAAACCCTCTGAGCAGCTAATGAGCAGAACTGAGCACTGTGCGTAGGGAACACAGGCAGATTCAGTCCCAGGAACCATCGAAAAAGAAAAATCAAGAGCTCAGTAATGGCACAGACAACAGGTTTGCACAGCCAGCAGCCCCTTGACAGAGATATGGACTTTTATGGAAACACAAAAGGCGACAGGGGTCATTTTCTTTAGAAGAAAAATGTATCCCAGAAAAGCCAAGCACACTCGAGCCCAGCCAGAGAACTCTGCTCATCGTGTCTCAGCAGTGGTTCCCCCGTTTCTGCCTCAGCAGCAGCTGCCAGTTGTGGAAAGGAAGAATTTTGCACCCTTCAGTTGTGGATGTTTGCAGGGATTTGTCACTATTTGCTCAGCTGAATGCTTCACCCAGAACTCTGTCACAAAACCAGGGTCCAAGCCAAACCCATATATCTATACATTAATACTCTGCTCAGCAATCAGAGCCACACTGGGAAGAATAAGGCAGGCTTTTCAGGGAATATTGTGCTGTTCAGCCACCAGATTTTTGTTGCCATAGCAAAAATCATTTATTTATTTGCTAGGATTTGAACAGTAATAGGTAGAGCACCCAGGAAAGAGAAGCCAGGGTGAACATTGCCCAACAAGCATAAATCTGAGTAGTCACACAGGGCTTGCTTAGAAAAGAAAAGAAAAAAAAGTCAACCTTGTTTCAGGGGTGCAGGCTGTCAGGACCCAGCCTGCACCCAGACCGACAACGAAAGAGCCCCCATGTACAAAGACATATTAGAAATAAAAATGACCAGTTTACAGAAACCAACCTGCGACATGAACAATGAAAGTCAGCAGACACCTCGCCTCCAAAAGCTGAGGTGGGAAAGTCAGCAAGACTCCACAGTTAATGAAAGAGCAAACACCCGATGGCTTCTCACAAACCAGGGATATCTCTGTAAGTCTCGGGAGCAAACCAACGGGTTAATCTGCATCCTCAACTCCAGAAGCAACCTCTTTAGTGTGGCTTTTCTCTTCTCCACCCATTATCACATTTGCTTTGTGGCAGATGTGGCAAAGCCAAAGTGATAATGTAGGGTGTTTTACACCTTTTGACCAGGCACCTCTTTGGCAATCCAAATCCTCACCTTATAATAGTAAGGAAAAAAGAAAATTGTTCTAGGCATTAAAAGAAAAAAGAGAACAAAAAAATCACCCTTTAACTATATTCCAGCAAGGAGAGTCAGAGTCAGCATATTGATCCCCA